GTCTGCCTCGCCATGTGGTCACCTCCGGGGCAGGTGGGAATCGAACTCATGCTGAAGTGGCTTAAGCTTCTCAGTGCTGTGCTGTAACCCACTACGCCACCAGGGAGGGCCGAAGCAGAGATTTTTTATTAAGGATGCAATGGGACCAGTTTTCCAGGTTCCCAGAAATGTAGTTGAAGCTAGTTAATGGTTAATCATGAGAAGGGGTAGAAACAAAGGGTGGTTAGATTGTAATTCCACTTGTCCCTAATTGGTAGCCCAAGGGAGTTTTTGTTGCAAAATGGAGGGGATCTGGCTACAGAAGCTATCAAAATGCTGTACCACAAGTTACCTAACCCAGGCCATCTCCCTGCCTGATCCTTTAAAACTCCCTTTCATCCTGACCCTGATGAACCAGGCCAAGGGGCTGCTGCTTAGTTGTGGGCCCAAATCATGATTCCTACCCTTGAATAAACACCTTTTGTGGGGCCTCCCTAGTGGTGCAGGGGCTAAAGTCTCAGGGATATCAAGCTATTGCCAGCCACTGCAGCATGAGCTCCATCCCCTGCCAGGGAGCTGACCAGCATGGCTCAGGGGACCTCTCCTGTCTCACCTGCTCCTCCCCTCAGCAGTGTTTTTCAGTGGATCTGCCTGTCCTGTCTCAGGTGAATCCTCTCACCCCCTGTACCTCTGGCCTAAACCCCAGAATGCATAAATAAAATAAATCTTTTAATAATTAAAAAATAGACACATTTTGGTGGCATAACAGCTATACAAAGAATACTACTCAGGAATAAACTACTGACTCCTCCAACAGCCCAGATGGTCTTAAAATCATTATGCTAATTTTATATTTGAATTGGGAGAGCTAGGAAAAGTACATACTATATGGTTCCATTTACCAAAAAAATTCTAAGAAAAGCAAAGCAATCTATAGGGAAAGAAAGCAGATCAATAGTCACTTGGAGACAGGAGTAGAGGGAGAAAACTATCAGGGGAAACATTTGGGAATGATGGAAATGTTTGTTATCTTGATTATAGAGATGATGTCACAAATGTACATGCCAGTAGGCATCAAATTGTGCACTTGTATTGTATACTTATATATGTGCCATCTGTTTCAGGTAGCTATGCAGTACCTCAATAAAGCTGTAAAAAAATAAGTGTACGTGTTGTCATTTTCCCAAAAGAGCACAATTGTTGAGTCACTCTTCCAGACATTATAAATATGTCAAGGCAGCTTTGTGTAATGGTTATGATTGTGGGATAAGACTACTCAAGTTCATTAGTTGTGTGACTTTGGGTAATTTAATTTCCCATGCCTTTCTTTCCTCTGCAGCTGCTGTAGCAGTTACCTGGGAAGGACTGTGCACAGTGTGTGACACTGTCAACAAATAGACAGTCAACAAGTGTCAGCCATTTTGATTATTTTTACCTTCCTTGGAAGGGGTAGTCATTGTTTCTATTTTCTAAGGTTTATAATGCTTTGACACCTTAGGTTTTGCAAATCTGGCGATGGTCCAGCCTTCCAAGGTTAGCTAATGACAATACAGCACAGAAATTGCCAAATTCTAAAATCAGGGCTTCCCCACCACCATCCACTAGCACTGGCTTTTAACTTACATGCACGCCGCTGCGTCTAACTACATGCCGCTGCTCCATCACAAAAGGCAGGGAGGAAAAAGGAAACTTTTTCCTTCAGAGATGTTCCGAGTGTGAGATCCACAGCCCAGCACAGGGCAGCTGTTGGTCCCTTCCCCACACTCCCAGGGAACCCCTGATCTCGACACCCTCCACCAGCAGACCTCACTATCCGCCCCAAGACTTTTTCAGTTCCCACAACCCAGACCCCAGGTCCTCCTGGACTGGAGCAGTCAGGTTTGGTCACAGTGCAGGACAAGCAGAGCCCACCCATGGCTACTGAAGCTTCACGCCTCTCCTGGCCAGATGGAGGAGTTTCCACTCCACCCTCAAATGAGAAAAGCATAGAAGGAGCATACAGGCCCTCTCCTGAGGGAAAGCTTGGAAGAAATCGTGGGGACCCAGCTTAGCCTCTTCCCCCCTCCTGGCTCTGCCCACAGAGCAGGCAAGCCGGGCTGGTGCTGCTTCTACCTAGCTCAGCTCAGAAACAAGTTGTCTCTCGGGTTAGCACCCATGATCACCTTCAGTTTGCCACCTGCAACTTTCAAGTGGTTCAAAAGGCAGGAAAAGAGGTTGCTATTTTTTGAACCCTAAATCTTGAGCCACGTGTGAGGCCACATCCAACCTCACCCGGTCGTCACTCCTCACTTCCTATTGCTCAGCCCTCGTTCACTCAGCCATACAGGCCACCTTTCCAAATTCATTCCCACTTCAGGTCTTCGGCCCTTCCCATGGCTGGTTTCTCCTCACCTCAGGGACCACAAGCTCCACTCTACCCAACAAGTACATCATCATCACCTGACCCTGGCCTACTGTCTGAGTCTCTCAAGTCATTCCATGATGTGTCCCCTGCTTATCACCCTGCCTTCTCCTCAGGTCTTACCTGTGTGTTCACTGCTGTGGCCCTAGCACCTACAAAACCAGGAGTCATGAAATATTCATTGAATCAATAAACCAACAGCCTATGAAATAAAACAAATATTTTTCTTTAATAGCAAAATATTGTAAAAAATGTGGAAAATACAGAGTGCAAGATACAGAGAATACAACTTGGAACTTTAGTTACACATTTTAATTGTCAAAGCACCAGTACTGCTTGCCCTTCTCTCCATTCTTCACCCATGCGTGCAGGTGCTTCGATGGCATGTCGGCACGTGGTAATGCAGACGGTCCTTCCAGGCCTCCCATGGGCTTGCAAGTCCCTCGGGTTCCCTTCCTTCTACACTTGTCCTCCAAAGTCAGCCAGGTTTCTGAGAATGATCCTTCTTGGGACCCAAGGCTGGTAAAGAATATGGCTTTGTAACATCACCATGAGGTAGGTTTGCTCTATCCCATTTCCAGATGTGGGGAGCAGGTCTCTGAGAGGTGGATTGAAGTCAGAGGCTGCACAGTGGGTAAACAATTCCAGCCTGGAAGACTTTAGGTTCCACCTGTGGCCTTCAGCTCTTCCAGCCTAATGACCCGCCTTCTGCAAGGCACAGCTCAGAGCGCCTAGGGTTCACTGGTGGAAGTTGAGGTGGGTTCCCCAGACAAGTGGTGTAGTCACATCCACCAGTCCATAGACTCTTTGAGGCAGGCCCTGACAATGACCACACAATGGGGCAGCCCTTTACACAGGATCCTCTCGGCCTCTTGACCCTCCCACCCCAACCCCTGTAGCTCAAGGACCCTAAGCTTGGGCATGGCAAGGCAAGAGGAGACAATCTCCGAGGCAGAAGGCATTTCAGGGGTGATGAGGGGACCCAGCAGGCACAGACTCTCCAGGGCAGGCATTCCCTCTATGAGAGAGAGGCCAGAGGCTGACAGGCCCCTCACAGTCAGCCGGATCTTCCGGATGTCTCGAAGGTGGCGACTGATGGCCAAGAGCGTGCTGTCAGCTGAAAGGGTACAGCCCAGCACCTCCAGCCTATGCAGGTAGCTCAGCTCCTGCAGGCCTGCATCTAGGCCAGTCTCAGTCACACGATAGGTGCCACCCAGCACCAGTGAACGCAGAGCGCGGAAGCGCGTCAAGCCCTGCAGGTGCTCATCACGGAAGGCTGGCACACGATCCAGCACGATGCACTCAAGCAGGGGCAGCACAGTGGGGTCCTGCTCCTTGAGGAGCCATGCCATGGAGATCTCACAGCTGTGCAGCTCCAGGGTCTTCAGGGTGCAGGGTAAGCTGGTGATGGGCACCATGCTCAGATCAGCCACGTGCAGACAGAGACGTTTCAGGTTAGGGCACTTCTGGCCCAGGGCCCTCATCAGCGCAGGGGACAGCTGTGGGGCCTGGGAGCCTGAGAACAGGTAGCCGCCCATCCGCAGGGAATGGAGCCGGGATGCCATGTACCGGCGAAGGAGGTGCCACATGACTTTAGGACGCATCTGTAAGAGCCAGAGATGGGGGTGAGCAGGTGAGAGGTAGGGAAGTTCTTCCAAGGGCCTACCTGCCTGGAGACAGACAAGCCTCAGACAAGCTGGGGTTCAGGTGTGACCTGGAATTGTGCCATTCCCCAACAGCCTCACTCAGCCAGACACCTGCACAGGAGGAAAAAAACAATTTAACCCCACCATTCTGACTTCCAAGTTTGAACAAAAGCAATGGAGGGAAAAAGAGAAGATAATAATAGATCTCTTTCACAACAGAGTGGATTCTCATATTCTGGAGTAAGTAATAAAGCAAAGCAACCTACCAGTACTTTTATCCCCACCTCTGACAGAAATAAATAGCACAAAAAGAAACTTAAAAAAGGCTAAAATTGCCCAGCACAAATTAAATCTAGGTTAGGAGGGAAAAATTCTCACCCTTACAATGATCAAAAACTGTGAAATTAACCCTGGAAAATTAGACTTGGTAGAAAACAAACACATATAAGTGAGAGCTCAGTGCATTTCATTCATTGTATGTATAGTTTATCTTTTAAAAATAACTACACAAAGGAAAAAACTGCAGAGCATAAAACTTGTCCACTATTCTTGACCAATATTGACCAAGGAAAGGTAACTCACAAGGGCAGAAGCCAAGGGTGACAAAATTTTAAATGGGCCAAAAGCAAACAGATAAATCAACTTTTACTTGCAAAATGACGAGTTTCATTTTGATGCAGAGTTGTCCCTTGAACAACTGGGGTAGGGATTACCCTGGTCCACCTCCACAACAATTCCCCGCCCCACTGGGGTTCCATCTTCAGATTCAACTTCCCATGGGTATTACTGGTGGGTATTATTGCTATGTGGAACCCACAAAGGAGGATCTGCTATAAAAGACTTGAGCATCCAAGTCTTTAGTATGGAAGGAGGTCAGAAGGGATAGAGCAGTCCTGAAACCAAAAGACCACTGTAGCTAAGTTTTGGGAGTGTGAAATGATTTTCAGCTGGTGGATGGGAGGGACAGTGTCGGTGCCCCCAACCCCCACAGGAGTTAACTATAACTCATAACTGGAAAAGATGCGGAGAATCAGATTTGGAGCCCTTTGGCAGAAGCTGGTCTGATTACTTTGCAAAGCAACTTGGCAGTTTCTACTGAAATGTAAAATGTGGCTGCCCACTAACATCTGTTTTCTGAAAGTACATGTTTGTGCTTTAGCATGCAGAGAATATCTCTAGAAGGATACACAAGAACATTTGCTGCCTCTAGAGCAAAGACCTTACTTTTACTTTTCACATATTTTGAACATGTGCACATATTTTTTTAATGACCTCGTTAATACTCCTTATTTTGTTCCCCAGAGGAACACTGATTTCTGATAACATTGTTAACGTAAAAACTGGGGAAGGGGGAGACATAAATATCCATTGACATATAGTAGTTATAAATGTTGGGCTTGACTAGAGGAGGGAATCGACAAGGCTGCCAGGGAAATGAGCCTTAAGATGGACCACTGGGACCAGAAAATCCAGGCCAGTCCGGAAGGCAAGGCCAAGGCCCATTCTGTGTCAAAGGCCATGGCCCTATACCAGACACCCCAGCAGACAGCTCCTGCAAACTGATATCCCAAGCAAGAAAGCCCTCGAAAACAGTATGAAAGACACTCAACTCCTTCCTGTGCAGCCCACTCCACCTGGCCCCTGGGTCCCTTGATGGTATTTCAATAAATCCATCTTTTCTCTATCCACTGTTTCTGGTGAATTCTTTCACCCCCATGCCTCTAGTTTCACCCCAACATTACAGGACTACAGTACAGACAGAAACTAAAATCAAAGTATATTTAAAGGTGGGTAGTTTCCCAAGATGGGTGGAAAGAATGGCAAAATGGTACTTGTAGGTACAAGGGAAAAGGAAACAATACTATATATTTTATATGGGTGCAATCATTCTGATAATAAAGGCAAACATTTATTGAGTACCTATTTGCAAGGTGCAATGTTGAGCCCTTAACTAGAAAATCGATATACTATATGGTCATGTGGCAGGTGCCTCCAGGAAAATATTTTGGTCAGAATATTATTGCAAGAGGTAGAGCTAAAATTCAATACAACCTGACTTCAAGGGCTAGTCTTCTCTTCTAGAAAATGCACTTCCCCTCACTATACCAAATCAAGAGAGCTAATGCATAGAAGACAGGCTGGAAGGAAATAAAGTCCTCACTTAACATCAGTGATAAATTGCTGGAAACAGCAAAGTTAAGCAAAACAACATAAAAAGAAAGCAGGTCCTCACATATCATCATTTAGTTCGACACCAGTCAGGGCTGTTTTCTTCACATCAATGTCATAAATAATGGACATCTAAGGGCAGTGACTCGAGGATGAGTTGTATTCCACATCCCTAATGGTGGTTGCTCTGGGGATGGCTGAGGACACCAGGGGACAACTGCCAAAGGCGCTTAACTTCCTCTGTAGCATTATTTCAATTTTTGTGTTTTGCTAGTCTTTCTTCACTTATTATTGTTTTCTTTTATTGAACTAACATCCATTGCTTTATGTCATGAGACCTGTTATCATTAGTTACTTCAATGTTTTTATAAGAATTATTCATGAGGCCCTCCCTGGTGGCGCAGCGGGTTAAAGCACAGCACTAAGAAGCTAAAGCCACTTCCGCATGAGTTCGATCCCCGCCTACCCCGGAGGTGACCACATGGCGTGGCAGACCTCTCCTGACCCTCCCGCTGCTCCCCTCAGTAGTGTACTTCATCAGTCGGGGCCTGTTCTGCTCCCCACTCTGTCTCTGGTGAATCCTCTCACCACCCCTGCAACTCTGGCCTATATACCCCAGTTCTGTATGCACAAATAAATAAATCTTCAGAAAAAAAAAAAGAATTATTCATGAATTGTGTGATTTTTTTAATTACTTTCACTAATATATAAATTATACTTCAAAAAGCATTGTAAACAAATGGTATAATCTCCATTATAAGGCTTTTAGGGATGAAGTGAACTCATGTCTCCAACTTATTGTGAGATGTATTTGAGAAATAAAATGGGGGCCCTCCATGGTGGTACAAGGCATTAATGCACAGCTCTATGAAGCTATCCACTGACAGGAGTTCAATCCTCAGTCAGGGAGGTGACCCACATGGCATGGCAGACCTTTCCTGACCAGTCCGCTGCTCCCCTCAGCAGTTTATTTCACTTGAGCTGCCTGTTCTGCTCCCTACTCTGTCTGGTGAATCCTCTCACTCCCTGCACCTCTCGCCTGTACCTCAGTTCTTGTATGTATAAATAAATCTTTAAAAAATTAAAATAAATAAATGGGTTGATGGAGGGATACTACTAGTGGATATCTTGTTTTCTCTGTACTATTCTTTAAACTTTTATCTATGTTTGAAATTTTTCATAAAATAGTAGAAAAATAATAATTCAGTACACTGAATCAGAAGCTGCATATTAACAAGGTCAAAAGGACAGTAATGTTTGAAACACACTGGTCTTATCATACCATATGTAGTAGTAAAAAGTTGATAATAACAAACATTACTTAATAGGAAAACAGATAATTTGTAGCATATTCATTTAGCAGTAATTAAAAAGGAATTAACTAGATTTACACATGTCATTAAGAACAAATCTGTAAAATGAAGTTGTGTGAATAAAGCTAGTTGTAACTAACATAAGTAAAATAGCATTTAGTATCCAATCTGTACAACTGCATTGTTTAAACGTTAGAAATATGTTAACAATACTGTATATTGCTTCTGGGCACACACATAAGAGGCAAATATAAAAAATAAAAAAGTTCGCTTTATAATGCAGGTTACCACTGAGGAAGTTTTCAAAAAGTGCAACAAATAAATTTAGTATTCTAAACATTTATGTGTGTTTCACACTACCTGCAGCAAATAAATTTACAGTTAAAAAAAGGTTAAATGTAAGAGGTGTGTACATGATTTTTTTTTCAGATACTATAATGTCATATACAGTTCTGCATTTGAAACAACTCATAATAACTAAACGAAGAAAATTATAAAATGCAAGTGGGAGAAAGTGGAAATAGTTCGGTTATACTACTGGAAATTAACTTGCCTCTGAAAGTGATTTCTCCAAGAAAACTCATCGATAATACCTAATGCAGTCATCGATTCGCATTTATCGTATGTTAACTATAGGTCCTTTTCCCTGAATGATCCTCGGTTATCCCTATGTAGAAGATGGGGAAACTGAGGCCGAGAGGTCGCCAAAGGGATAGGAAAGAGCCGTGAAGGGGCCGGGAGCCCCTGGCTAGAAATCCAGGGCTGAAGGATGGTTCCTCGCGGTGTAGCTAACCCTACTGTGGCCCAGGCCTGTCCGGTCAACCCCGCGTACCGTGTAGAGTGTCAAGTCGACGTGTCGCCACAACCACCGGTCGTCCACCAGCCTCTTCCACCGGTGACAGACCCTAGAGAAGGGGGCCCGCCATTAGAACGACCCGGCCGCGCCCGCACCCGATCCGCACCTCCGAATGCCGCCCCCCAGACCCAACCGCCCCTCCCCGGGAGACCCGGTCCCACCTGGAGATGCGGATCCGGTCCCGGACCGGGAGGTAAGCGAAGACCTCCAGCAGCACGGAGTCTGGCAGGTCGGCAAAGGTCGACATGATCCAGGCGACACGCACTTCCGCTTTCTGCTACAGGACTCGGGAGTGTCCCTGGAGGTGGGAAACCAAGTGCCCGCAGGGCGGTGGCCGTTGTCTCTGGTAGCCGGCGAAGAGATTCAACTTTCTGGCTTCTTGCTGGAATGTATTTAACTCCCGGGACAAAAAAAAACCATTCTGATCGCCACACGTCGCATAAGGGCGGGACTTAGAACCACAATCAGAACTGCAAGGCGTGGCTTGGGCGGTGAAGACTCTGGGAGCGGGTGTTAGGGGCGGGGCTAAGGGCCGGGCAGAGGGAGGGCTTAGGGCTTGGACCAAGTCGAGAAGGCGTGTCTGGGACTCTGATGAAGTGGTGTCTGGACTGAGCCTCTGGCAGCTGTGGAGGCCTGCAGGAAGCGAAGATGAACGCCCAAAATGTCGGGAGGACGCTATAGGCGTCCGTATTATGAGTTGAGGTAGTCATAAAGTGATGTCTCTTGTTTACTTAATAATGCTTGTTGATGCACATGCATGAGTGTAACTTTGTAGAAGTGAAATAGTTTGCTCAAAAGGCATGTTGAAATTTTCGTTTTGATAGATAACGTCAAATTGTTTCCGAAGGTTTTCTGAACTGACATTCCCACCTAATACAGATCATTGTTTTTTTAAATAATTTATAAGCGTACTGAAACTTTGTTCAAACATCTCTGTATTGATAAGGTTGCTTCCATGCTTGTTACCACAAATATTGAAGCTAAGCATTCTTTAAAATGCCCTCTCTGGTGGCGCAACGGGTTAAAGCACCACATTATGAAGCTCTCTGTAAGCCATTGCAGCGTGAGTTCGATCCCCTCCCGGAGGTGACCCAGGTGGCGTGGCAGACCTCTCCTGGCCTGCCCACTGCTCCCTCAGCAGTGTACTTTGCCAATCTGCCTGTTCTGCTCCCAACTCTGTCTGGTGAATCCTCTCATCCACCACACCTCTGGCCTGTACCCCATTTCTGTAATCATAAATAAATCTTTTTTTAAAAAAAAAACATATGTAGTATGTTTAAGTAGCAAGATCACATATGTTTTTATTTCTGTAGAATAACCAGAAGTCAGTCTGATGGGCTAAAGGAAAGGTAAGGTTTAATTTTATTATAGTAGTTTTTTTAGATCATTTTGTACCTTTTTTCATCTCAGTTGTAGTCCCTGTGGACTTCCCATCACCAATTTACCCATTTTTGATCCCATTCCCTACTCCACCCAATAAAATGACTCTTGTATATAGTTGTTCATTATCATTTCTCTCCCCCCGGTCCTTTATGCTCCTGCTATGAATGAAACCATCTTTCTGGCTTATTTCACTAAGCATGATCCCTTCCAGCTCCATCCTTTTTGCTGCAAAAGGCATGTGTTTATCTTTTTTGATTGCTAAGTAATATTCCATTGTGTATATGTACCACCCCTTTTTAATCCATTCATCTACTTTTGGGCATTTGGGTTGACTTCATGTCTTTCCTATTGTAAATAAAGCAGCAATAAACATGGGGGCGCAGGTGTTTTTTTGAATCAGTGTTTTTGTGTCTTTGGGTAGATCTCTAGGATTGGGATTGCTGGAAACTCCATTTTTAGCAGTTTGAGAAACCTCCAGTTTTCAGTAGTGGTTGTAATCGTTTGCATTCCCACCAGCAGTGCAGGAGAGTTCCTTTTTCTCCACATCCGGTGAGGTTCAATTTTTAATGAGTTTTGCTAAATCACTGTCCTAAGAGCCTTTAATGGAAATAAGAGATCTTTAATGCACATATACACAAGGAGGAATTGAAGATATTGAGAACTAGTTTAAAAAGAATATCCACATTCACACATCAATAAATAAAAAGTAAAATATGGGCATTTCACCTATCACATTAAGAAGCCTGCAGCTATCCCAACTAGACTTGGTGTAAGGAAACAGTTTGCAGCTAGGGCAGAACTGATGAAAACTCTTCGAAGATAATTTGGCAATATCAGACCCAATATCAGATTGTTGTAGCAGTGGTATTATTTATAGGTAGTATGACTACTAGGATTTTAAACCGGGGCAGACAGGGCAGTAGGGCAGGAGGCCAGGTGAAGAAGGATGTCAGGCACCAGTCAAACAGGCATAGGGAAGGAGCAGATACCCCAAGCAAAAGCAGATATTCGGGAGCCATAACCGCATGACTTGTCACCACCGATTAACACAAGCCAGGCAGAAAAGTTAGTTCCAGTACCTTGTCAAAATTTTCCACCCAGCGGCGCACCCTGGTGGCGCAGCGGGTTAAA